ACTGAAAGAAAGCCATATCAAGCATTATTATAAACAAAAGGAAGGATGTATTTTCGGCACAAACGTAGTTTTTTCAACATAAATTGGCTGGACTGGACGCAAAAGAAATGGTGAACACTACACCAAAAATACATGCGGGCTTTTTTCACAAACGTGACCCACGATCTTCTCAGAGTTGGGAAAGAAGCTCCCTCCCTCCGTCCAAATGAATAAGAAGATGAATCCATGAACTTCAGGTCACGTTCTTGCACCAGTCTGGCTTGATATCTCTATGAAACTCAAAGTACACTTTTTGTATCGGTCGCAATTGCGAAGGCGTCTTAATTTCCATTGGGTCATTCTAAGGTCTTAAGCAGGATTTAGGTAGTTTCATGCAAGCATCATGTTGGACGGTTCGGTTAGGTCTGCAGGTCTGTAGGCTGGGTTAAAAAGGTCTCGCTAGGTCATAATTTTTGGTGATGTTTTAAAATTGTGACCTAAGCACCAAAGAACGCCAACTAATAATTACCAGTACGTTAACGTAAAAATAGCAAATATTGCAACTGGGACTCTCCTCACTAATCCAGACTACTGCGACACTGCTCCAAAGCCGTGTTGTTTGAGCGGCATGTAAGGACCACGGCCCGCGAACTGCTTTGCTTCCCCCCCCCCCCCTTCGTGCGCCCCAATAAGTGTGTTCTTTGTCTTGCTGCAACGTTCGGCGGCCATCCTAAAAACGCAGCTTGTTTCGTGATTGACATGCATTTGTCTTATTCATTTTGCTTATTTTGCTCGCTTCAATAATTGCAGAAATTTCTTGAATTTTCTGTTTTATTAATGGCGCTTATTTCATGCATTTGTTTCGTTTCATTCATTAGGAGCCTGAAATATAACGTTCATTCATTTATTCCCCAGTGCTATTTGCTTCATTCTTGTCACGCATGTCGGTCGTTTTACTCCGTAATCTTCTCATTCATTCCGTTTGTTTTATGTATGCGTTCTATTTAGCGTACGCATACTGGTGGACGCAGACCTGTGCGCAAACCTCACTGGAAGCGAGCTGATTTGATTGCCTTGCAACTTAGGCTGTGGGTGTTGCTGATTACGATTTGTGAAACGTCGGAGGTTCGTTCGGAGACTGAAACCTCGGCAGAGGAAAGTTGTTAACTCGATCTGTTCTGAAGAATGAATGCCTCAGGCCATGCCGATTGTTATAAATTTATGCTTGTAAATTAACTATTGCCTTTGCTCATAGGGAAATAAGTTCACAATTATCCCACAAGAAATTAGTTACATTCAGAGGTGCCACACCAGTGTGTAGCATAAACATGGACAGCAGCACCAAATATGTTTAAAGCCCATGAATGTTACAGCCCGGCAGCAGAAGCAGGCTCTGCGTGACCTCGAGCCCATTAATTGCAGAGCTCCCACAACGTTGAGCGTGGCCTGGCCTGTTTTTATCATGGGCTAAGTGGAGCATCTGTCCCCAGAGAGCAGCTGGTGCAGGAATGAGGACGAGAGCGGTGGCGTTAAGAGCTCGCGGCGAACACCCCGACAGAAGGGAATGGCCATAAGGCATTCCAGGGAGAGTGCAACCATTTAGGTAACAATATTACTAAATCCGCACATTCGTGTCTAGATTATACATGGCAGAGTCAGACTTCAAATTCAGTTTGTTCAATGTGGTTCTCAAAAGTCCAGATTTGTCGTTACGAGTAGCATTTTTCTTTTATGAGCTAGATTATTTCATCTTTCCAACAAACGTGATTATGGTGGTGTAATATTGAAAGGATGGAACCCACCGAAGCACACTTGTGTAAAATACATCAATATGAGCTATTCGTCTTAACAAATCTCACACTCTTAGTTTTGCCGAGGTTTCACATTTACACTGCAACAATACTGCACGGTTTTGGCTTCAACATGAGATTACATGCTGGGGGAGTGGTACTTTCAGGTACTGGGGTACTTATAATGATGCTGTCAAATAAGGCAGCACATTCGGCCACAACGTTAGAGTGAATTCAAATTTATAAAACGTTTTACAAGTGACAGTGTTTCTGTTTTTTCTGCATCAGCCGAGACCGAGTGGTGCTTTTCCCAGTAATTAATTTCACCGCTGCCTAGAAAGGAGATGATTGGCAAAATAATCTGGCGGCACCAATACCGTTAACAGCAAGCCGTACCATCCGGATATTGTGGACACGTGCAGTGTGTCCCTGACACCGCGTCAACACCGATGAGTGCAACAGTTCGCCAAAGGCCATTCATCGAACTTCAGTACTCAACACGTTTATAAGAACCCCTCGTTGCACGCCTCTTGCAAAAGCTGCGGTCAGTGACTGCTTATCACCGTTCCATCGTCACGAAAGGCGTCGACGTTTTTGAAAGATCAGACGCGTTTGGAAACGAAAACAAACACCGCTTCTTCCAGATGCTGCTGTAAGCGAGCGGTGTCGGTGTGGAGTCCTTGGCTAGCATTACATCAGACACGGACCCGTATAAATGGCCCACCAGCGGTCCTGAGCGCAGTACCGCACTGTGACAGGAGAGGTGAAGCTCGGGAGACATTGGACCTGATCCCGGTGCCCGCGGACAAACCCTAGAGTTCCCTTCAGCTACGCCAGGTCAGTGGAGGTGGTGCCTCGCACTCTGTCGGCAGCTTTAGTGTGAGGTCAGACTCAATCGGTTTCAGTTCGGTGACGTCGGACTAGGTCGGCGGCGGCAGTGCGAGGTCGCACTCAGTCGACAGCGGCCGTGTGGGATCAGACTTACTTGGACATCGGCCGTGTGGTGTCGGACTCTGTCCGCAGCTGCCGTGTGGGGTCAGACTTAGTCGGCAGCGGCCATGTCGACAGCGGCCGTGTGGTGTCGGACTCTGTCGGCAGCGGCCGTGTGGTGTCAGACTCTGTCGGCAGCTGCCGTGTGGTGTCGGACTTAGTCGGCAGCGGCCGTGTGAGGTCTTACTCTGTCGGCAGCTGCCGTGTGGTGTCGGCCTCTGTCGGCAGCTGCCGTGTGAGGCCGGACTTAGTCGGCAGCGGCCGTGTGAGGTCTTACTCTGTCGGCAGCTGCCGTGTGGTGTCGGACTCTGTCGGCAGCTGCCGTGTGGGGTCGGACTTAGTCGGCAGCGGCCGTGTGAGGTCTTACTCTGTCGGCAGCTGCCGTGTGGTGTCGGACTCTGTCGGCAGCTGCCGTGTGGGGTCGGACTCTGTCGGCAGCTGCCGTGTGAGATCAGACTTAGTCGGTAGCGGTCATGTGGTGTCGGACTCTGTCGGCAGCTGCCGTGTGGGGTCACATTCAGTCGACAGCTGCCGTGTGGGGTCGCACTCAGTCGGCAGCGGCCGTGTGGGGTCAGACTTAGTCGGCAGCGGCCGTGTGAGGTCTTACTCTGTCGGCAGCTGCCGTGTGGTGTCGGACTCTGTCGGCAGCTGCCGTGTGGTGTCGGACTCTGTCGACAGCGGCCGTGTGGTGTCGGACTCTGTCGGCAGCTGCCGTGTGGTGTCGGACTTAGTCGGCAGCGGCCGTGTGAGGTCTTACTCTGTCGGCAGCTGCCGTGTGGTGTCGGACTCTGTCGGCAGCTGCCGTGTGGGGTCGGACTCTGTCGGCAGCTGCCGTGTGAGATCAGACTTAGTCGGTAGCGGTCATGTGGTGTCGGACTCTGTCGGCAGCTGCCGTGTGGGGTCGCATTCAGTCGGCAGCTGCCGTGTGGGGTCGCACTCAGTCGGCAGCGGCCGTGTGGGGTCAGACTTAGTCTGCAGCGGCCGTGTGAGGTCTTACTCTGTCGACAGCTGCCGTGTGGTGTCGGACTTAGTCGGCAGCGGCCGTGTGAGGTCGGACTCTGTCGGCAGCGGCCGTGTGAGGTCTTACTCAGTCGGCAGCTGCCGTGTGAGGGAATTTTTCACGCCAGACGTGTTCAGTCCACATCAGTTCCAACCGTGAGTGAGGAAGACGGCCCGTAGAGTGTGTATGTGGCTTCCAAAGTAGGTGTGCCGAGTGTGCGAGCTGAGAAGGCGTCGGGTAAATGGGTAGGCGTGAAGAGACGGACATGTAAGTCGATAAAATTTGCTTTGAGGTCACGGGTGTTATATGTCAAAGGAGAGCCACCTGAACTATTGCACTGGCATAGATCACGCAATAGAATGAGCTTTCTTTGAATATTGTGACAGCTGGCCGCTGTTCATTAAGGTGAATGGTATAATGATTAAATTCAGTGGTATGTGAGCAATGAGCATGGCGTTATCTGGTTGAAAGGGAATGCTCCATATTTGTGAGGGGTTTTGAACCGAAATAAGCTTATTACACCATAAGTAATACTTGCTTTCATATCTGTAGGTGTGGAGCATTTCCTTTGAGATCATGATGCCCTTTTATATTCGGATGAAGTGTCTGGAAATTACCTTGAGGAGCGACTCCAAAATTGAAATGCGTTGTAAACGGTGCCAGTCATCGCTATGAGGGTGGTCGGGGCTTTACAGTGGGTCATACGGGGATCCACAAATTATTGTGCACAGCCTCGGACGCATCTGGATCATAGGCCTCATCTCGAAGCACGGCTTTCTACGGCGGCCACAGGGGCGTCGACAGCGGGGGGTCGAAGCAGTCATGTCCCCAGTGATCACATTGACCCCCTTGGCGACAGTGATAGCACTTGCTTGATAACTTAAATGCTTAAATGGTCCCCCCCCCCCCCACACACACGCCCTACTCACTGAGTAAACCGCTGGCAATAACCCTGGCATGGCCCTCACCGCTGGCATGACCTGGTGCCATGATTGGTCCGACACCTGATGGAAGTGGTCCACGCACCGGCCGCCCCCTGCCCCGCCCCACCGAGCCGCGTGAGTGATAGCTCGTCCCCTGCCCCCGGCCATCACCGGCCTGCCGCGGCCCGATCGTCGCCGCCTCAATACCACCGCAAATAGTCAGCACCGCTGGTGCCAGCAGCGTGCGCCGGCCCGTGCGGGCGGGGCGGGAGCGGCTGCGCCGGCCGGCCCAGCGCCGCCGCCACTCGGGCGCACAGTCGGTCTCGGGGCGGTGGCGTCAGGTCAGCAGCGTTCGGTTCGGACCTCCGGGTCTGCGGGAGAACGGTCACGTGCTTCAGGTGGGTGGCGGTACACGGGGCCTGCCCGCGGCTGCTCTCGTAAGGAAACGAGAGGGGCGAGGCAGTTTGCGGTTTGAAAGGAGTTGCTACATTGATGCTTCATCATAGGCACATATATGTGCTCACGTTAGGTGCTGTCAGTCTCTAGTAAGTCTATATACATATATATGGAATGCGTTTCACTTCAATTAGTTATGCTTCATCTATGTTCTCCGTACCTATATATATATATATATATATACACATATATATATATATATATATATATATATATATATATATATATATATGTGTATATATTTGCATGCATACATACATGATGATTATATTAGATTGCATATTGTAGAACAGCAAGATATGTAAAATGTTTTTCAAAGTAAAAAAGTATGACATGTAAAAATTATAAATCACCTAGCAATGAGCAAAGTAAAATATTTTAGATGTAGAGTAATTAGTGCATGATATGTGCGTGTCACAGTAATGCCAGGATTCGATTATAGTGATTTAACTCGCGGAAGCCTGTACAAAGGTGCTAGGAACACGGAATGTGAAAAGAATGGTACGATATTTTGTCTTGCAAGGCTTTTCATGTATTGCGCTTCATAAATGAATGGTTTTCGCCACGCTTTTCGAAGCATTGCAACTTAGTTTCCAATATTGTATCATACCATCTTTGTGTGATCGCAGCTACGTTGCCGAGGTCTCCACTTATTTCGGTGATTGTCACGGAGCCCGTCGTAATGGATAATGTTGTCAGAGAAGTGGGGGAATGGGATTATGTATCACCGCAAGGGTGTAGATAGCCAGTAAAGATTCATAGCTTAGTATGGAAACTTTGCACAGGCCAAGGGAGAGGACTTGTGTACGCTTATCGGCTCGTGCAATCTCGCCGTCACGGTTGCATAAGCTATGGGCCACCCCATGTCATAATCTCTGGACCACCCCATGTTTATGAGCTCACAAAGCTCTGATCATTTAAAGCTGACTCGAAAGCTGTGGAATTGGTATTCAGTGTTGCGACATGAAATGAACCCGCAACCCGATTGAAAACTGTGTTGAAGCGGATTGTTTAAAGATGGTGTTATAACCCACGCTTCTTGCTCGTCCTGAGTTATAAGCGCGAGCGCGATCGCACGTACCTGTCCGATCTCTTACATGGGTTCCGCGTACTGTGCGCATGTTGGCAGCTGTCTTCACACGGGATCCGTTTTGTTTGCATGTGACGCCGCGTGTCCCCGGGAGGACATGCGAATTTTAAAACCCTCGTCTGCGAATGCAAAGTCCCTGACAATGCAACTATGTGCAAATGCGGCCAAGTGCCGTGTTATGACATCCGACCTTATTTACAAATCGACTTCTTTACACGACTTCTTTACAAATACAACGACTTTGTATGGGTCAAATTGGCGTGTTTCTTAAAAGCAGTCATCTCCAAGCTGTGCAGACGCAACGGGTCACAGAGAGCTTCGCCACCGCACGTCATTGTGTCAGCTATGCCTCCAGTGTGCGTCGTTCGAACTCACAACGTTCCCTGGCGCTTGGTTGGCAACATTCAAGCTTGTGTGTCCCTTTGAGCTCGGTGTTTGATTACTTGTGATCTAACGACGTCCGCCCCCGCGCACTCTGCGTCCCCGCCCCTTTGACTTCACCCAGTGTTCTAGTGCGCCTCTTTGGTGCCAGTTCGCGGCGTCCGCGCCTCTTTGACTTCACCCAGTGTTCTAGTGCGCCTCTTTGGTGCCAGTTCGCGCCCCAGTACCGTCCTGTGACGTTAGATCGTGTCTTAGAGGGCCCCTTTGACGCCAGACCGTGTTCCAGTACACCCCCATGACGTCACACCATGTCTTAGAGGGCCCCTCTGACGCCATGCCTCGTCCCATTGCGTCCCTGTGACGTCATCTCGCGTTGCAGCGCGCTCCAGTGATGCTGAACGTACTGCTTCTGGCCATGACCGTGACCCTGCATTTGGCACGCGGCGCGCCGGCCGCGTCCGTGTCGAGTCGACCGGAGGGTCGCCCGGCCGCGCCGAGCCGGTCCGACCCGGTCCTGGACGCCGTCCGGCCGGCAGGCACGGACAGCCGAGCCGGCGGCGAGCGGCACGAGGCGGGCCCCGAGCCCGGCCCGCCCGGGTACAGGACCAGACGAGAGGTGAGCAGCGGTGACCGTCGCAGGCGCCGGCCTCGGCGCCGCGCGAATGTCATGTTTTCTGCGCACGTGTTTACGGTGGCGGCACGATAAGCCGCTTGTTTTCAGCGAGGAATGCTTCAGATATGCTCACAGATCCATCCCTCTCTCCGCCGTCGATTGAAATCAAAACATTATGCCACGCCCTCGGGCATTCAGGAACGTCACTTAAGCTGTCATGGATCGGCCCCTTTGGGACGGGCCTAAGTATGATAAATGTCATCTGGCAAATGTCACTGCATCCCATTCCGAGCCACGAGCACCGCAGCTATTCTTGGCGATGGAACAAGGGACCTGGCCGTCGCACATAGTACAACCATCAATTCTAGACAGATCTGCGCTATCGACAGCATGGCAACGGGTATCGATATGGTAAGAGGAGAGTGACACCTGTCGAGATATAGACAGTGATCATCTCACCTACTGAAGGGGAACAAGCAGAATATGTTTTGAAGAAGAGCAAAGAATATTGAGGGCGGTTTCATGGATTGGAAGCCTGCATACTTGTCCGCCTGTAGCGTCGTAAGAGCACTTATAATGCAAACTGACGACACGTAGCTTTTGCTTCATACACTGCCCGCAACATGTTAAGTTTGCATTATACCGACGGGCAGCGCTGGAGCACTGTACAGACAAAATAGCGCACGCTGGATGAATGAAAATATATATAATAAATGCAACCACGTCATCAGGTCATATACCTTTCGCTTCTTTGTTACCCTAATCAGCGTAAATGTTGATGAAAGAAAAAACTATAATTATTGTTTATGCTCAAAACCACGCCCAACATTGATAAGCACAGATCCCATGGGGTGTGAGAGCGATTTCGCATCTGAGAAAAGCATCCGTCACGGGCATCACGGCCGTTTTAGATCTCAGATAACGACCGTACGTCATTGCTAGCACTGCTGATGACCTGTTACCAGCGGATGCTGGGATCTGCGCAAATCCCGGCTGGCCACAGGTCGTCCGTTGACGAGTGTTCAGGGCTGTGTGGAGCACAGCTGACGACAGCGCGTGCATTACAACAGTTGACACGTGTTGGGACCCGTGCGTGGTCACACTGACGACGCTTATTCCATCTGCGGGCTCCCGGATCTGCGCGGAATCCACCTGGCGACAGCATCTCCTTCTGCAGGCGCTGGTGTGTGTTCTGACCGAAGCGTGTCCTCCGCCAGGTGTTGGACTCTCTGCGGCATCTCCGCCGGCTGCGCCACGCCTCCGTGTCCTCCAGCCCCAGCCTGTCCATCATCAACCCGCTGGACGTGCTCCGGCGGCGAGTCATGCTCGAGATGCTGCGTCGCAGGATCCGCAAGAACAGGCTGCAGGTCAGTCGGGCGGCGGCCGCGGTCGTGGAGAGGTCACGGGTGTGGCGGGCGGCCACAGACTGATGCGTGGGTCGGTGGCATGGGCTAGGCGGCCGGGCAGGCGTTCTTCAAACAAGGGTTCTGCTTTTGATGGCAGCGGCAGGTACCAGTCTAGTCGAGGCAGGTGCTCGGGCTTTTGTCTGAATTTGCGTTTGTCAGGCGTTAATTAGTAGACAAACGGCTGAAATCGCCCAGGCCTCGCGATAAGGGAATGGTGAAAAACATAAAGCACTGTCACACAAACTGGCCGATGTGCATTTTGGTGCTGAAGATTAGTTTCAGGCCAGTACTGACAAAGGATTTCTGCTCTCTCACAGATCAGCAAGAATTCAGACATTCTTGCAAGAAAGGGAAAGCGCAGCACCAGAACGCAGCTTGCATCGAATAACAACCTCAGCGAGGGCCCCAGGCAAGTATCTAAGAACTTTATATTCTAGCCAGGTTAAGTGACGGGGATTCACTCGAACCACGTTAATGCATCCATTGGCGGCGGCTGGGTGGAGCAGCTGTACGCTTCGTTGCATCACACAGCACCTAATATAAGCAGCAGGAACACATCTGCTGCCGGCGGCTTGTGAGGTGCAGTAATGTGAGTCATTGCCTGTCTCGGCGCACCTGAGACAGCCCCGCCGCGCGGACAGCCACTAAGGGGGCCGCACCGGGCTGGTAACGACCGCGGGAGCTGGTCGTGTTCGATGTTCACGTTGTGTTTTGTTTCAGGAGATTTGAGTCGAGCCAGAGACAATCGGAGCTCTCCTGAGTCTCGTCACGTTAGGTCGGAGAAAGAAAGGTGAGAGTTTTGCGAGCGGCCACTGATGCGATTATAAGTTAACGAAAAGTAAAGGGAATGTTCCACATTTGTATGGGGTTTGAACTGAAATAGCTATTTTGAGGACCTTTCGGTGTTCTTCACAACCCTGCCCTTCTTCAGACATAAACCCATCTAGTTTCTAAGCTACACACCCGCAAAAATGGGAAGAGGATTTTGGGGAGAGTATTTCAAAGTAATCTTGGCATTCATGACGTCATAATAACGTCATTCAAATTCTGCCATTCCATGAGCCATGCAACGATCAAGACCAAGAAACATTTAACTGTCAAGGCGTTCATATCTGGCGTTCTTGAGCGAGATTTCCAGATATAACGGCCATCTATTGCTTCTCAGTCAATGTTGAGCAAGGTCCGTTGACGTAATCATGACGCATGGAGGAGCTTGTTTACTTAACAGAGAATCGTGTTGTGTGGGGCAGTCTTTTCCACTAAACGGGATACAAATAGATATAAGTGAGTTTGCTCTTTCAGATCTGATGCTTGCTTCAATATCTTCAAATGTGGCACATTTCCTTTAAGCCGTGCGGATGCGCGTGACCTCGTCTCCGCTAGTGGTTGTTGCTTATGAAGGACGTCTGAAAGCACTGAATGCGTTTTTTTTTTAATGATCGGTATTCGGATAGTTTTGTAGTTTTCACAATAGCCAAATGTAGCACTAATTTAAATGATTTAGTGACAGGAGGGCATATGATGCTGAAATCAGATTGACTATGCGTTTTCCTTTTGGATGCATTACATCTGCTCACATGCTATGGTCAAATTCATGTTAAAGTACATCGGCACTTGGACGTTGACAATTTTTACATCCCTCGAAATTGATGTGACGAAGCCGTTCTTTTGTTGAAGCACTAACACTTTTTTCGCTTTGCAGGCTAGAAGCCAATGATCTCAGAAGCGCAGAATAATAACTTCTCGCGCATCAACCTGTCTTCAGTATTCGTCGTTCTCCATGCACGACACGAGAGTGGCTGGTTCCCTTCTCGTCACGACTGCAGCGACTGGGCCATCAGGCCCAGGACCGTCGCTCACCAGATACCGCGCTCAGGGCACAGGCCGCTCGTCGCGGTGTCCGGCGAAACGCTGACGGCCGGGTGGTCTCTGCATTGAGAGCGGATGACGGCCGCCGAGGGCGGCGAGACGGCCGTCGTGCGAGTGAACTGTTGCATCATCGGTGCGTTTTCCCACTGGACGTGTTGATCACATCTCCCGGTGCCACCAAACGCTGTTTATTTCAGTTGACATCGTTACGACGTAAGCCGTTGCGTTGGCATCGTTGAGGCGTAAGCCGTTGCGTTGACATCGACAAGGCGTAAGCCGTTGCGTTGACACCGTTACGGCGTAAGCCGTTGCGTCGGCATCGCTGAGGCGTGAGCCGTTGCGTTGACATCGTCTAGGCGTGAGTCGTTGCTAATGAATGAAATCGGCCAACAGCGGAGCTGTGAGGTTCCCCACCAATCGCGTATTAACCTCATTTTGTGAGGAGGCGGACGTCTCTAAGTTGTTTACGTGATACTTTCCATCGTTTGAATAGGTTGCTATATTTATTTTCCTATTTAAGCGCACGAGTGCGCATCGAGCTTCGTGGCTAGGCATGTGTAATGTTTTTTTTCAGAAAATATGATGCTCAGACAAAGCAGTGATGCATTTTTTGTTTTGTTTGGCACCAGTGGAGAACGAATCCTCTCGCCCGGCACACTTCCACGAAGTAAAAGGCAAGCAGACATGCGGCAATCGGTTCCAATGTGACAAACCTCCTACAGCCATGCATGATGACGAGATACATGAAGAATTAAAGCAGGAGTGAGAAACCGTGCTGCTTCGGACCAGCGAATTTCAGTTCTGAATGCAAAAATATGTATGCTGTTTATAAGGGAACTCGGCCCCCCAAAATATGCTTCATACCATAGAAATTTGAAGGTATTTCATAATTCGGCACATTGTCCTGTCTTCAGCCATTGGCCTCTTACGCCGCAACGTTTCTGAGCTATGCACCGGTACGCGGTGAAACAATAGGTCATACTAATGTGCACACTCATGGGGGACGAGGGTCCACGACCCGCTGTGTGTTAAACTGGCTACCATTCGATCTCGCTTAACATGCTTCATGCACGAACAGGCCATTGTCTCTCTGGGTCATGGAATGAACTGGATATGTCTAAAACGCGCATGATTTTAATGCAAGATGTTAAAATGCATAATGTATAATATGTCTAAAATGCTTTTTGATAAGAGAGCTCCCTTTTAATATAGGTGGCTACACATCTGAGACACATGCTGTTGGAAGTGTTAGCCAGGCAGCGGTAGCTATGTGATGCTATATGAGGCTGCAGTACTCATGGACTTCGATGCTTGCGTACCTGAGAATGCTGCATCTGAGGAACCGTGCGAGCGTATAGATACAATGCTACCTCGTTTCTATGGGCTTTACGTAGGTACCGTCATGATGCATTCTGGGCAAAGCGTTCGGCAGATGCATTGTCAGGGTCCATGAAGCTTCATCACGGCGATACCCATGCTTTGGCGGCATTACTTCGTGTGTGCAATCTTAACCATCCCAATCAATATATGTTGATACTGTGTCGTATAATTGTTGACATTTGGGAAAGAAATGCGGTTAGCGATCTCTCTCGCATTGCGAATAAAGCAAAGCATGCAACATAACAATACGTCGCCAGATACGTAACGGACAAGCTCCCGAACTCCGTTTGAAACCATGTATGAGACTGAGGACTGTACGCATTTTTCGCGTTTGAAAAACCTGTTCCAAGTCATCATTTGCAGTGTTTCAAACAGCAACAAAAATTCCGAAAATATACGTGCTGCTATGGGCGGCAAATATCATGCCTTCTTTCTAGGCAATTGATAGATGGGCCATTCATATAAACATGCAACGTGCATCAGGTCATGTTCCGCTGACCAACACCAACTTCCGTTGTGGGCGCTGCGTTCTCCAAAGTTCAAGCGGCCTCCTCCACGTCACGCAAGTTTTACAACCGGACGTATAGATGGCCCGTCATTGCGTATCCGAACGTTTGCAAATCGTACGTGATTGACAGCTGGGGCTCCGTTCCTCAGTACCAAATCTAACCTAACCTAGCCTAACCTAACGTCATCCAGCTAATCTGGCCATGGTGGTCATGTGCCATGCAAAATGGTGCATTGGTTTTGGTTTTTCGGGTAAAGCAAGGCTTCGTACCGTTTTCAACATTATTTCAAACTTATTCACAGACTACTTCAAACTTTTTCATACGTTATTTCGAACTTTTTTTGGACATAATTTCAGGTTTTTGCACGCATAGTTAGTTCAAAATAAACTAAAGCAACTACAAGAACCTGTTCTGCGTCTTTGACGTCGTGTTCCTTAAATTCATTTGGCAAGCGCGGTGAGAAAAATTGGTTCGCTTGATTTATTTTCCATTTGTTAGTTCTCCGGAGCCGATAACCAAATATGTAAAAGAAACCTGGACATGTACCATAGATATTTGTGAGCTGATTCCGCTGGTTGCATGGCGTATCCCTCGAAAGAGGGATAAGCTACGTAACCAGGGGAATCAACTTAGCCCAATGCCACTTACAGAATCCTCAACATTTAGAATGGCGAGGGAACTGGTGGGAATGATGGAATAAGGAGAAATTGAAATCCCCTCTTGTTTTTTTTTAATATCACCAAAGCTAAAAAAAACTGCCAACGAACAGCTTTTAGTGTCATAAACAGAAAACCAGATGTCGAGCAAGCCAAGAACTTATGAAGCTGACAGGCAGCTTAATCTGCTAAAGCCCGGTAGAGTTTGAATGTCCGTTAGTCGTGATCGCCGACCGGTCGCCCCGGGGGTCGTACTGTAACAGGTACCCCCCCCCCCCCCCCCCGAGAGGTGGAGCCGCCATCTTGTTATTCTTATAAAGAGGATTCCTCATTGAAAGGAACCATCGATGATTTCGGCTTTCGAACCACACCACACCACGTAACTGACCATCCAATGAAAGCTGGCGCCGACCTTCGTAGCAGAATAAGGGATCAGGGCAGAAACGGGAAAATCACTAACTACAGCAATAAATCTAGTTTTTCATCGCATGTCGCTTTCATTGCAGCGTTTAAAAACAAAACGCAAAGAATGTTCATAATTTTCAAGAGCTTTGTTTGTCATTGGCGACTAACGTGGATTGTTTATTATTGACATCACTTGACATTGAACTGCTTGACCTATGACTATCGTGACCCGGCATCGGATCATCACCAAGGCATTATTTTCTCAGAGTTTCGTGACTCCAGCACGACTCGCACCATGGATAGCTGGGGTCAGCTGTGCTGACCGCCCCTCAGGCGCCCCTCTCCTGGGCGTACCACTGCAACAGGCGTGTTCATCAGAATGCTGACGATTTTACCAGCGGTTTACCTTTTGTCTCACAGCCGCATGATGCCTGGTTGGTCACACGAAGTATTGCATTTTATTGACCAATATAAGACGGTCGATATAAGACCAATATAAGACCAATATAAGACCAAGTAGGCTGCGTACCATTTTATTGACCAATATAAGACGATCTCACTACTCGGCATATCAATGTTATGCCTATGGAGTGGCGGGGGCGAGCAGCCTTCGAGAGGTACATTGGGTTGGGTTTGCACTAACTTCGTGCGATGCCGATTTCTGGCCTGCGCGATTCCGAAATGGAGCCGCCTGGCGGCCAGGGTGTGCGACGTTCCAATCTTCAGCGCTTTAAAAATCCTGACTCACAGTGCATGTAAAGCCATGTGTAGCATTTGGGTAGCTTCAGAGGTTTGAGTGTCTACCTTGTGGTAGTGATCTGCATTGTTTTATGTCAGAGTGTGCAAATTGTCCTATAACTGACTCGGAGACCTGAAACAACGTTCAAACAGTGCCCCCCGAGTTTACGTCATAAATCGATCTGATTTGACGTCATTAGAGCGGCTGGGTATCATATGGTATCGGTGAAGTGCCGGGTTGGCAAGACTTTTGGAAAACTATGGCTGTGGGTAAGGGTATAGGTGCGATGCTTACGAAATGACGGGTAGATGCGTCAAAATATGCTGCTTAATGTTACTGTTCACGCTCCTTTCAGCCAAAGAATCCCAACTATGTAAACAATCATTGATCCAAAGATGAAGTGTTGCTGTAAGCTTTCCATTACCCAAAGCTTGCAAAAGTTTTCATGACCTCCATGTAACAGAGAGCTAACAGCGCCTTACATAATATTTTCTCTACCTCCGAGGCAACCTGCTGGTAAAATGCAATTAAGTGGGTAACTAGTGGGAACGACTGAATGGGAGTGTTGAGCGGGAGGGTATGAGCACAGCCCCATGCGGACCTGGTGGATGGCGTAAAGGAAATCTTACCCGTGAAGCTCTCCAGACGTCATGTGCGTGCGTACAACGCGGAGGCAAGTTACAAGTGAGTACATGACGGAATATGCCATCGTATCCTATTTTCAAACGCCTTGGTGTCTATTTTTTACTGAGCAATCCTTATGCGCCCAGCCCGCCAGCCTGCGACCTTTTCAGGATGCGAAAATCTCCTCATTTTGAGCGCGCGGTTGACTCCCGTTTCTCCTTTCAGTAAAGTGCGCGCGAATAAGGCGCCGGGAGTTAGAGACGTCAGTCACGTAGTCAAGCCCATCAACCTGCCTAGAGCATCTAGAAACCACAAGGCTGAATTATCAACTCGAACTGAATACGCACGTGAAATAAACGGCGGAACTGGGGCGCAGAATACGAGAGGAGAATAGACGTGAGGAAAACGACAGGGAGGATAAAGCAGGGGTGGTGGAACGAGATGTGAGAAAAAGAGGCACCAGAACAGTAAGTGATCCGGCCTTACCACGTACAGTGCTGATACATGGCGTCATCCAGGGGCATGAGACACTCTGCAGTTGCCATCGCCATGGCCGGCTCAGACGGCCCGCATGCCGCACCAACGGAATCTTAATGTCTGACGCAAGTGCACGGCCTTGCACAGTCTGCCGGCCTGTCAGTGAGGTGAAGGGCCTGGGGTCGCCCGGCTATCGAAGCCTCGGATCGGAGGAGCCCCGATGCGGTGGTCGTTGAACGAAAATTCTGCGCGTATTCCGAGCCTCACAAAAGACAATATTAAGTTGCTGTTCTGTCCATGTGAGACTGGACCCCACGCTCCTTTGCCAGAGACCTGTCGCTTAGCAAGCTCTCGCGCTCACTGGCTGAAAGCAGCCCTCTCAGTGACTCCCAATGGGCAGCAAACCCAAATCACTGACCTGCTGGACCGATGGCGGTAGCATTTGGAAACGGCCAAATGACCTGTGTGTATTTCCCCAGGGAAAGGGCTTGATTGGGCTGATAGCCATAACGGTTGAGACGCTTCAAAACGGCCGATATAACAACCAGATTACGAGCTGTAAAATATATGTTAAACGTACCCATCCCACTGTCCTACTGTTTCTGCACTTGACGCCAATTGCCTTTTTGCTTGCGCGGACACCGCGTCGCATGCGTTGCACCGCCAAGGACGCATGAATATGCATTGACCCGTCACGATAACAAGCCGCCAGATCCCGCCGTCTCTCGAAAGGGCAGCGACGCTGCGATTCTGCCGGCGACTCGTCGGACCGCCGCCTTGTCCACGCGGCCACCACCGTCGACCCGGCTGCCGCCTTCCGGACGGGAGGGCCCAGCACGTCCGGCGACTCCTCGGCCGGGCGATCCTCCAGTTACAGACCGCCGCCTTGTTCAGCGCGACAAACCGCCGTTGCCGACAGTTTCGCGAGAACCCCTCTGGGATTCCCAGTCCAGTCCTGGTCCCGTCCAGCAACTGTGCTCCTGGCCGACCCGAGCCCTTGCCGGACATACTGACCTCTGCTAGGCACTGTGATGTCCCCTAACACGACACAGGGGGCTCCTCATTGGCCGAGGGCTCTTCTTATGTAAATCGCAGGCCTGGCTTTGTCCTTGCTTGGGAAATTGGCCCTCGAGGCCCAGACGACAGCCGGAGCAGAGCAGTAGTGATCAATTACTGCGTTGGTGCCTGACGATACAGGAGGCTCTCACCGACTCAGGAGGCCCCCAATCGGCGTGAAGTGTCCTCTGACTGGCATTGAGGAGCCCGGCCCTACGGGCCATGGTTCCTTATTGCGGTCATCGGCCAGTCCTTCGAGTCTTTTGGGTTC